GGGAGGTCTGACCTCTCTACCTGGAGGACAGCCACCTGCAGAGCCCTGGAAGCAGGTTAGGTCAGCGGAGGAGCGGAGTGAGGGCAGAGTGTGAGCATATGCTCCTGTCTGGGTGTTCTGTCCCCAGGTGGGCATCTGCGGGTGAGAGGTCACATACCCAGGGGCGGTCCCACGATGTGGGCTCGCTATGAAAGTGCTGGGAATTCCATGGGACTTGCACAAGTGTCCTCATGGGTGGGAGGGCAGCCTCCAAGGTGAGTGCTCCCCATGGGCGGCAGGTAATGGCATGCAGGTATGAGGGGGTTCGGCAAGGCCTTGCAGAATGAGGTCACAGGTGCAGGTGGTCCATCCAGATGTGAAGCCACGCTCTGCTCTAAGTAGAGGGGGAGCCCCCGCTGCCTCAGCCTGGGCGTGCTGACCACACCTTCCAGTCTGCTCCCCTCTTCCCACCTGGAGTCCAAACGGACACCGGCCCCAGAGTGGCACTGTGACTTCAATGCAGGACAGCACTCCACCTCTCTCTAAGACACAGTCACTCACCTGAGCACCCCACCCTCGGGCGGGCGCACCCGAAGACAGGTTGTGGGTCTCGAACCTGTGGGTCTGTGAACAGGAGGAGAGAGGACAGAGAGGCACCTGCTGTCGGGGTGGGCAGACTCCCTCAGGTTAGGCTGGTTTCCAGGATGTGCCCTCACCCACTTCCCCCGCTAAGAAAATGAGGCTCCTTAACACCAGTGAGAGAGCCTGAGGTTCCCAAGTCTGAATCCTCGGCTGGACCCTGGGCTCCCGCATGTTTACTCATTGAACTGGAGTGGGGGATCTCACCGTGGCTTGGCTGTCCCAGGAGGTGGTGTGTCTGGGCTGCTGACCTCTGAAAGCTAGGCTGGGTTCTATTGTTCATTTCGTTTGAGGCTTAACATAATTTCTGACCCTGGCTGGGGTGACTGTTGGTTGGAGTCAGCAGCCCTGACCTTGCCCTGGAAGGTCGCAGGTTCCATTCCAGTCACTGAGGTTGGGGTTGGATCCTTGGTTGGGGCACCTACAGGAGGCAACCAACTGTGTATCTCTCTCACATCAATGTTTCTCTCTCTCTCCCTTCCTCTCTAAAATAAATATTTTAAGAATTTAAACAATAATGATTTCTGGAAAACTTAGCCCAAAGGGAACTCTGAAAGTAGGAGCCTGGCTACCTCTGCTCAGGCTCTGGCTTGCGTCTTCCCACCCACTCCCCACCCGGCAACTCCAGGACGCAGTTCAGGCAGAGATTCCCTTGACCGGGAAGGAAAGCTGTTGGCAGGTGGGGCCAGGGTCCTATGCTCCTGGAGAACATATTATCCCAGACTCACGCCCTCACCGCACTGCATGCGGGAGACCCTATGGGGAAGCAGACCCCTTTCTGTCTCCCAAAGGCATTCTCAGGCTCCAGCGGGTGGGATTTGCCAGGAGCCAATGGCCTGCTTTCTACCCCTGTCTTAGAATCTGTAGGGGTCAGAGTGCACCCTTCCGCAGGCCAACTCAACTCTCTGGAAGCTCTCTTTCCCATTCTTGCACACACTACCTTCTCTCCCCTCTCCCCCTCCAGTGTGGTCCTGGGGTTTGGCTTCAGGAGGAACTCCCCAGCGGCTCCTGGGTCTCAGTGGGGCCAGCTCTTCCCGCCTCTCGCGCCTTTCTCTGAGATCCCCAGCCCCAGCCCTCAGAGGTGGCTGGGCAGGTAGGGCATGGAAGTGGCTGCCTCCGGAGGCTCCGGGCCCCAGTGTGCGCGCCCAGTAGGTCCACGCTTCAGCCAGAACCGCAAAGGCCCTGTGAGTTGGAAAGCACAGCGGGAAACGCACGGTCTGGAGAGGAGGGAGGACAAGGGAAAATGCTCTTGTCTGGCTAATTGAGCGAATTTTCATTACTCTGAACGAAAAAGTAGATAATAATCATGAGAGTGGAAGACCATTAGAACAAGGAAAAGGGTTTTGTTTTTCTTTCCCCCCCCCCCCCCCACAGAATCACAGAGAGAGAAACCCCAGGCGATCTCGCCCAAGGAGCGCAGCGTTAATTCCAGATATTGCCTTACAAAAGAGAAACAAAATGCGAAACCTGTTACCTCTGCAGGCTGAGCTGGGACTCAGGGCCCTGACATAAGGACGCGAGAGTGAGGCGAAAGTTAAAGCTACTCCTGGGGGCTGCGGAGACTTGGTCTCTGGGCCTGAAGGACGGACACGGATGCGCGCGCGACTGTTTTCCAGGAGGATCTGAGGAGACAGGGAGACCGCTTTTTACTTGCGTTAAAAAAACAAAATTAAACTATGTATTCATTTAAAACAACTACAAAAATAACCCCACCACCATGGAAAAGAAACCTACATGCCGCAAAGCGAGGGAAGGAAAGAGCACACGAGAGGGGCAGAGGGATGGGGTCAGGGAGGGGAGGGGCGGGGCGGGAAAGGCGCAATCCCATTTCTTCTCCGCAGGCTCCACTTTAAAAACAAAAATCCTATTAAACCACACTCACCTTGGGGATGCCTTATCGTATCAGAACACTTTAAACAATTTGCAGCAGAAACATGAAAACAGGCTCCTGACTACCCAACGGTCATCGGATTGGGGGCGCGGACACAGCCGGAAGGAAGGCAGCAGCGGGAAATAGCCTTGGCATCGGGGTACCCACCGCCCTTCTCCACCCCCGCTTCCACCCCCAACCCGGACCGGCCGCGGTAATTGAATTGTCACCTGCCCCCACCTCGCCCGGGGCCGCCGGGGCCACTTGGGAAAGTCAGCCTTGCCAGGCGCCCCGGGCCAGCGGGAGCGGCGGGCGAAGCCCGCACCCCAGCAGCGGAGGGGTGACCCAGGTCCGCGCAGAGGCGCCCCCGCACCCGGTAATTAGGCGCAATTCACACGCTCTCCAGCGCACGGAAGCCACTGGTCACGATATTTGCACCGCTCCTTCTGGCCCACTTTTTTCCACCCCTTCCCCGGCGCGCCCTCCCCTCCCTTCCCTCCCTCCCCTCCCGGAGGCGCCCGGCGCAGCCTTCGGAGTTTCGAATCTTTCGGACACTGTAGACCGCGGGGCTCCCCGGGCGCGGGCCCGGCCAATCAGAGCGCCGCCTGCCTCCCTGGCCAATGGCAGGCGCCACATTGTTGTCCGATCCTGCCTAATGGAGCCCTGAGGAGCCACAATAGAGCGGGCGGGGGCTCATTGAGGACCTGGCGGCGCCCGGCGACTGCGGCCCGGCTGTGCGCGGCGGCCGGGCGCTCCGCGAGGGGACGCGCGGCGCGGCGAGGAGAGCGGGGCCGTGGGTTCCTGCCAACCGGTCCCCAAGCTCCAATTCCCGACGGAAGGGTTCGACTCCGCAGCGTCCAGAGGGCTCCGGAACTTGGGACATGGTGACCGAAAGAGGGTGACGTGGTCAGAGAAGGAGCCCGGGGGCAAGGAGAAGAGGCCGAGGGCGCCCTCGTCGCGAGCGGAGCTGGGAGGCGCGCGCGGCGCCGGCGGAGGAGGTGGAGAAGGAGGAGGTGCCCGGAGCCCGAGGCAAGTAGTTGGGGGCCACGGGGACAGCAGAGGAGGCGGCCGGGTCTGCGCCCCCGTGAACGAGGCCCGGGCCGTGCTGGCCTCCGGGCGTGCGCTGCTCCAGGGGCCCGAAGGTAGAGGCAGCGCGGGTTGGAGAGGGAAGGGGAGGAGGGGGGGGGGGTCTAGGATTGTGGGACGGCGACACCGGTATTCGGTCCCGGGCTCGGGAGGGGACCGGGGGACCCAGAGGAAGCCGTGGAGGAGCTGGGCCCGCTTGGGCCTTCAGGGGCCGTGGCGCAGGTGGGACTCCTGTGTTCTCTCTGAGTCCGTTCCAGAGGCCATTCCCCTGCCTTGGCTCAGCCCAAGAAACCAAATCGCAGGAACCCAACTCTGAGACCGGAATGCAGCAATCTGCGCCCCAGCGGGGTCCTGAGAGGCCCCAGGATGGGGGGAGGGGGGGCGTGTCTGACTTGTTGCCTTAAACCAGGAGGGGTGTAGAAGGCAGTGTAGGGTGGTCAGGACCTCCGCCCTGGGACACCCAACTTTTGCAGGATACTTTTCCCTCCCTGATCACCCCCGTCACCCTCTTTCGGTCACCATGTCCCAAACTATAATTGTGTCACAGCTTTCACTCAGTCCCACCCAGCCCACGCTGCGGGTTTTTCCCCCTAGCCGCCCCTCTGCCAGGGCCACTGGGAGAGTGGGTCTCGCCAAGCCCCAGGGCAGTGAGAGCAGCGCAGCAGCAGCGGGGGACCCAGACACGCCTGCCAGCTGTTTTTGGTGACTCTCTAGCTAGCTGGTCTTTGGGCTGGGTTTGCCTAGCCAGTTTCTTCAGCTGAATTTTCTCTTCTTTGACCCTCCTCTCCAGGCCTCCTAAACTCCGCTCCCCACCCATGTTTCCCTCCCACCCTATGAATGACCGCACCACGGAGTTGGTAGCTTTCACCACTGCAGGGTCTCTGGGCCCTTGGGCCTACCTTGGTCCCTGCGTGGTCTCCTAACCCTCACCCCACTTCCTAGAGCTATTCCTCCTATTCCTGATTTCCCCACTGACCTCTCCTTTTCCCACCAGCAAGACAAAGCAAAAGGAAAACAAAACAAACAAACAAAAAACCCCCACAAACAAACAAACAAACAAACAAAACCCAGCCCAACCAGCTGGACTCTCCTTTTCTCTCCTCTTCTCTCTTCCACAAAACCCGCATGTCACCTCAGATGTTTCTGTTTTATCTCAGCATCAATCTGTTGGGTCAAAATCTTCCCTCTAAATCAAATCCCACCAAACAAACATTTCTATCGTCTTACCCCAATGGAACTAAACGTTGGGGGATACTGTCGTGTTTTTTTCCCCCCACCAAATTCTCCTTATATCCACATGAACCAGTGACCTTTCAAACTTTGTTTTTATTTTTCCGGCAGAACCACTGCTTCAGACGAAATCTTACACCCAGCCCACACATCAGATATAAGAAGAGCTCAGAACCAGAGTGTGTGTGTGTGTGTGGTGGTGGGGGGAGGGGGGGCTCGGCCTTACAAGGGGGCTCCAAAGGCACCTCCTCCCAACAATGTGACAACCAGGAGCCAAACTTCAGAGTCCGAATCTGCCCGCTCTCAGCCTGGGTTTCTCCAGGCTGTGCTTTAGCTTCGCGCACGGTGTGCCCTCCTCACCCTAAGCCTCTCCCCGCTCCCCTCTGTCTCCCACGCCAGGTCCTGACATGGAGCTTCGCTCGGAGCTGCCCAGCGTGCCCGGCGCCGCGACGGCAGCGACCACGGCGACTGGGCCGCCCGTGGCGTCCGTGGCATCGGTGGCGGCGGCGGCGGCGGCGGCGGCGTCGCTGCCGGTGAGCGTGGCGGGCGGGCTGCTGCGGGCGCCCCCGCTGCTGCTGCGCGCGGCGGAGAAGTACCCGCGGACGCCCAAGTGCGCGCGCTGCCGCAACCACGGCGTGGTGTCCGCGCTCAAGGGCCACAAGCGCTACTGCCGCTGGAAGGACTGCCTGTGCGCCAAGTGCACGCTCATCGCCGAGCGCCAGCGCGTCATGGCGGCGCAGGTGGCGCTGCGCAGGCAGCAGGCGCAGGAGGAGAACGAGGCGCGCGAGCTGCAGCTGCTGTACGGCACGGCCGAGGGCCTGGCGCTGGCCGCGGCCAACGGCATCCTCCCGCCGCGGCCCGCCTACGAGGTCTTCGGCTCGGTGTGCGCCGCCGACGGCGGGGGCCCGGGGGCCGGGGCGCCCGCGGGGACCGGCGGAGGCGCGGCGGGCGCCGGGAGCTCAGGTGAGGGCGCGGCCTGGCCGGAGGGAGGGGTGGCGGGGAGAGAGGGGTGCGGTCACAGGGGCCGGGGACTTGATTGGGTACCAAAGAGTAGACTCCCCTTCTCCAAATCTCCCTTCGGCTAGAGTTCACCGCGCACCCAGCCCCGATTGATTTGGGGCTTAAGTATATACACGCTCTTTTCTTCCCTTTCTGCTGAAGCATTTGCATTTTACTTTTCTTTCGCCGCGGGCCCAATAGTGAACGCTTAGGTCTTATTTCCTCTAAACCAGGTGTCCTCAAACTTTTTAAAGTGGGGGCCAGATCACGGTCCCTCAGAGAGCTGGAGGGCCGGACTATATGAACTACTAATTCCTACTGTAACACCTCGGCTGCGCTCACTGCCCAAAAATCCTGGCGGGCCGGATCAGACTCCTCTGCGGGCCGCATGTGGCCCGCGGGCCGTAGTTTGAAGACGCCTGCACGGACAGGTTCCCGCTTCCCCGCTCGCTTCGCGGGGCCTGCTCCCCAGCGCAGAAACCTGCGCGCCTTCTCCCCGGTTCTGTGCGTCTCCACCCGCAGCCGTGGCCCCTCTATTTCCCAGCTCCCTTTGGAAACCCGACCCCCGCCAGGCCCCCTCCCCGCCCCGCCCCTCCTTCTCTAGGTGTGGAGACGACTCGTTCTCTTTCCACTTGTGACTCCCGGTAATCCAGTTCCCATTGCTCCTTGTTCAACCTGCTCCTCTCCCCTCTTGTCCCGGCTTCTCAAGTGCGCGCTCTCGCTTCCCTGGATGCCCTTCCCTTTGCCCCTCTGCTCCCAGCCTGGCCCCACTCTCCAAAAGTCCTAGGTTGTTTTTTTGTTTTTTTCCGGGGAGGGAGGAGACCCTGTGGGCACCGTTGGGGCTCTCTCAGCTCTCAGCTTGGGAGACAAGAACTTCTTAGGTCTTAATTTCGGAAAGGGTGGCTTATTATTATTATTATTATTATTATTGCATGTAGAGAAGTTTGGGATCTTGTAGATGTCCCAGGCGCTTTCCTATATAGGCTCTGCTGCCCAGGGCCAGAGGGCACCGGCCTGGGCTGGCTCCTGAAAGCACAGAGGCGGAGTGGGCTTTTCTATATGGTGTGCGGTGTCGCTGGAAGTTATGTTGGCTCCTGTTTGAACCCAGGGCCAGGCCACTCTTCCAGGGCAGGGCAAGGCTAGGAAGGGGGTAACGGTGGAGGGGTTAGGGCACAGGTATGGGAAGAAGGATACTGACTATTGAGTTTTCAGGGTGCAGGTGGTTGGGGTTCTGGGTGCAGAAAGGGGAAGGCTCCCTGGGGCCAGGGGAGGAAAGACAGGGCTGTAGGGACCCAGAGGAGGGAATGGCGGAGCAAAGAGCAAGGCGCACTGGAGCCCAGTGAGTGAAGGTCACAGCGGGGCTCCCTGGGAAAGGAAACTGGGATGCCAAGGGCTGGGGCGCTGTGGGTGTGGTCGCCTCCCCACTATTAACTGTTCTTTACACCCCCATCTCTCCCCTCCCAGAGGCCAAGTTACAGAAGTTTGACCTGTTCCCCAAGGCGCTGCTTCAGGCAGGCCGGCCAGGCAGCCCGCCCCCGCCGCCTGGGAAGCCCTTATCACCCGACGACGGCGCGGACTCCGGTCCGGGGACCTCATCCCCGGAGGTGCGGCCAGGCTCGGGCTCCGAGAACGGCGACGGCGAGTCCTTTTCGGGGTCGCCCCTGACCCGGGCCTCCAAGGAGGCAGGTGGCAGCTGCCCAGGCAGCGCCGGCCCCGGAGGCGGCGGCGAGGAGGACAGCCCAGGCTCCACCAGCCCTCTGGGCTCTGAATCCGGCTCGGAGGCTGACCGAGAAGAGGCAGAGGCCCCTCCGGCCCCGGGGCTGGGCGGGGGCCCGAGCCCGAGGCAGCGGACGCCGCTGGACATTCTGACGCGCGTCTTCCCGGGCCACCGACGCGGCGTCCTGGAGCTGGTGCTGCAGGGCTGCGGCGGCGACGTGGTTCAGGCCATCGAGCAGGTGCTGAACCACCACCGCGGGGGCCTGGCAGCCGGCCTGGGCCCCGCCGCGCCGTCGGATAAGGCCGCCGCGGGCGCAGCAGCAGCAGCGGAGGATGGTTGGCTGAGCCGGGTGGACGCCGCCACCGGGGGCCCCGGGCTGCCAGCGCCGCTGCAGGCGGGCCCCGCCGCCCCCCCGCACCACAGACCTTTGCTGGCCGGCGCCATGGCTCCGGGGACGCTGGGCTCGCTGAGCAGCCGCTCGGCCTTCTCGCCTTTGCAGCCCAACGCCAGCCACTTCGGCGCCGCCGCCGCCGATGCAGGTGCAGCCTACCCGCTGGGCGCGCCGCTCGGCCTCAGCCCCCTGCGCCTGGCCTATTCTGCGGCGGCGGCGCACAGCCGCGGCCTGGCCTTCATGGCGCCTTACTCCACCGCCGGCCTGGTGCCCACGCTCGGTTTCCGCCCGCCTATGGACTACGCCTTCAGCGACCTCATGCGCGACCGTTCCGCCGCCGCCGCGGCCGCCGTGCACAAGGAGCCGTCCTACAGCGGCGGCCTGTACGGGCCGATGGTCAACGGCGCCCCTGAGAAGCAGTAGGGGGGAAGTCCTGGCCGCTGGGCGCTGGGCGGCCCACACACAGGGGGCTGCCGGTCCCCCTTCGCCCAGGGCGCGCTCTGCGTCCCGGAGGGGGTCCCCTCTCTCTCCAAGGGGGTTGGTTCTCAGTTTTGTAGGGTGGGGAGGGAAGAACTGAGCAAAGCGGAGCAGCTACAGACGCAGTTGTTCTGGGAGGAGGTGTGAGGCCCTGATTCTCATCTCCCCAGCCCCCTCCCTAAGGGTCCCCAGCCCTTGCAAAAGCGACAATTCTTGCGAATTCCAAGTCTGCCTCCGTTAGCGCACGCTCCCGCCTCTCCTGTAAGCTACGCCCATCCCGCCCTGCGCTCGAATGGATGGCAGGATGGTCCGAGAGTGTCTTCTGTGTCTCCCCTCCCTCTAAATAATTTTAAATATGTGCTCTAACAAATATAAATTAGGATGTATAAATCTCTTGGCACTGAGTCGAGTCTTTGGGACACACACATATATATCGATATCATTGTGTTTTTTTTAAAAAAAGGAAACAAATTCTGCAGTGCACTTTCCTCCTCATTGCGGTATTTGTCGCTCTCTTTGTCGCTTATGCCGGTCAGCATGGGTTTCCTTGGTGCAGTGTGAGTTTTTATATATGTATAAATCTATATATAACCTACACATATATATATAAGCCAGTGTATAATGTTATAAACATGGAATTCTCTAAGTTATTAATTGTAATCTGTAGGTGACCTCGGTATTAACGTGAACAACAAAAAAAAAGGACAACATGGAAAAATTAGACTCTGCGCGCATTGTTACTTATCAGGTTTTATAAACTAAATATATTGTAAACTCCAGACGGATCTCGCTCACCTGCTCAACTGACTGGGCCGGTCTCTCCCTAAGGAGCGGCCAAGGTGAGCGCTGCAGCCGGAGCAGCGACTGGTGACTGAGCCAGACTTGTCCTCCCGCAGGCCCTCCCCTCCCCTCTACCCTCCCCTTCCGCCCGGACCGCCGAGCCCCCAGCCCAGGGCGGCCTGGGGAAACGCTGCTGCAGAGAACGGCTCACTGTGTGCTTTCCTTTGCATAGACCTGAGCTAGAAATAAATGTTATTTTCTAAGAAAACAACACCGAATCCCGTCCGGCTCATCGGGCAGGGCAGCGGGATTGGAACGGTCTTCATTTCCTGCTGGGGCAGTGGTTCCAGGGAGAAGCCTGACCGCAGCCCGCGCTGGTCCCTGACCCTCAGGAGTGCGGGAGGGACCTTCCCGCGGGCCGGCGGCTGAGGACTCCGGTAGGAACAGCGCTGGTGCGCGCCTCCCGAGTTGCGCCTCTGCCTTGGTCCCCGCTCCCGGCTCGGGCGCCGGCCTTGGCGGGGTCGCCTGGCCAGTGCTCGGGGTCCCGGATTGCGAGCCTCTCTCCGGGGTCCTGCGAGGCGGGCAACCAGGTTCTGGTTCCCCCCGGGGCGCAGATTTGGGCTCAGCCGGGTTGCACCCAGCACGCCTCCCTTCTCAGAGAGATTGGGGACCAGGGGCTGCCGAGGCGGCAGCTGCCCAAGGAGGGCTGCAAAGGAAGACGATCTTCCACTGCTGTTTTTGGAATAACTCTGGTATTCCGGTTATTTTGGTGGTGGGGTGCTGCTCCCGCCCGCGGTGAGGACCTCACTCTGCACCCCTTTTACTTCCCTCCTCAAGCGGAGCGGAGCAAATTAGCGGCTCTAGGACCGACCCCTCCTCCCGCTGCCCATCCAGGGTGCCCCCTCCCCGAGGCTGGCCCGGCCGGCGACATCCCAAGGTAAACTTCTGGGGCCGGCTCGAGTTCCGCCAGGCGGTGAAACTTAATAGCAGGACAAGAAAACGGTTTAATAAAGAAGGGCTTTAATAGGGAACTAATTTGATTGAGTTGCCTAATTCCACTTTAATTGGAAAGGGGTTTGGCTGTTTGGTTATAAAGTGCGAGGGTGACGGCGAGATGGAAGTGTGGGGGGGAGAAGAAGCGAGAGAAGAAAGATGGGGACAAGAGATGGGGGGAGGGGGGGTGAGAGAGAAAGTCTGAAGAAAGGAACCGGGAAGTGTTACTCAGAAGCGGAGGCTGCGGCAGAAAGCCGGGAGCGGCCAGAAGTGTGAACTCCTGCCTTCACCGCTGCGCTCCGGCCCCTCGCCCTCCTCCCTCACCAGCCGCGCCCGGAGCTCTCGTCCCACCCGCGGTGAGCCCAGGAAGGGGCTGGGTTCTGGATTTTAGGAGGGACCTGCCTGCCCTGCAGCTCCAGGGGCCCCAGATTCAAGCCAGACCCCGGGGAGGCGTCCCTGGGCCCAGGCGCCCCACTCCCAAGAACATCTGCAGCTTCTTAGATGTCGAATTTTCGTTCATTCTCACAGCAAAACGGAAAGAATCCCTCGAGCTGTTTATTATCGGTTAAATCTATACATAACCTATGAGTGTTTATTATCGGCTCCACATCACAGAGGAAAACTGAGGTCCAGAGTGGTTTGGGGACTTGTCCTACCATTCCGGTATTCTGGGTCCCTTCTCTGCACTGTTGCAGTGAGCAGAACATTTGTCCTCTCCAGAAGAGCAAGAGCTTTCTTCTGGCCCCAAATGGGGCCTCTGCACAAACCCCCGACCAGTCCCGCTCCCCAGGCAGCCCCCAGAGCCCAGAGAAGCTGTGGTCTCTGACTGTGAGCGTCTGGGATGGAGGTCAGAATGGTTCCAGGGAAGCCCAGGGGGTAGAGCAGTGGGGTTTTCAGGTTCCTCTCTTCCCTGCCCAGCGCATCTCTGTGGCGGAGGCCCTGGGATGGAAACCCAGGTCGGTCAGTCACAGCCTTGACGCCTGGCAAAGTCCTGCATCCACGGGAGCCCCTGACCTCCCTGCCCACAGCGCTGTCAGGAATAGTGAGGCTCAGAGAATGCCGGTGACCAGCCCAGGACCACACATTCATGCTCTGAGGAGCCAGAATCAGAACCCAGGACGGTCAAGCCAGATTGCTAAATAGCAGTGTGTAGTGCGTGTGTGTGTGTGTGTGTGTGTGTGTGTGTGTGTGTGTGTAAGCTGGGTGGGTGGTGAGTAGGTGCCTCTGGTTGGGGAGCTACCTGGGGGAGGGGGTTTAGGGGACTGGGGCCTGAACTGGTTCCGCTGTGGAGGTTGCAGGCAGTGCCTACACCCCTGATGGTGAGAACAGGGGCAGGGACACCAACTCTTTTCTGCTGAGAGTGGGAGATGAGATGGGGCATCTACTGTCCATGTCTATTCCCTAACCCCTCTGCCTGCTGGACCCGATCTGGCCTGGGCACTGGGAGGACCTGGGCCTGAATGGAATGGGAGAGCTCTGACTATTGGCAAAACAGACTCACTAGGTGGTACTTATTTTACAATTATTTTTTTCCCTCCTTCTCCTCTTCCTCCTCTTTCTTCAAACAACAGCAGCAGCTGCACACCATTGAGTGCCTACTGTGTGCCAGATCCGGTCCTAAGCAGTTCTACACAGGATCCTGCTTAGCAGGCAAGAAAAAGCCAAGAGCTGTGATCCTGGTTCTGTCACTGGCTGGGTCTATTCATTCATGGGTTACTTCAGTCAGTAAATATTTACTACGTACTTACTCAGTGCCAAACTCAATTCTAGGAGCTTGGGATACACTAGTGTGTAAAAGAGGCATCATTTTTGCCCTCTCAACATTCGCAGGGTGGTGGGGCTGCAGAGCTGATGACACAGGTAAGGGGGATGCACTGGTATGGCCCAGGGGTCAGGGCCATACCATGGAAAGGCGAGCGAGGCAGGGAGCTTCACCTCAATTTCAGGGGCTCATGGCAGTGTCTGCCGCTCTGGGTGCTGTGAGGATTAAATCAGATAATGTGCAAAAACCTCTTGGCTCACTGCTTCCTAACTAGGTGTTCATTCTCATGATCAGATCCTTTGGAGTGGCTATTTCCCATTTCACAGGAGAGTAAACACCTCAGAGGGATTGAGTGGCCGAAGCAATTCTCCTTATAAGTCTTCTGAAGTGTCACAGGTTATGGGAGACGCCTTTCCCAGAGCAAGGGGCCACACTGAAGGGTCATCAGATGGCAGAGTGTGGGTTCTGGAGATGCTTGTGAGAGAAGGCGAGTCCTGGGGGCAGAGGTGAGGGGCAGCACTGTGACCTGCCGCAGGAAGTGGTGCAGGGTCTTTGTGGGGGAACAGGTGGAGAGCGACAGGCTCTGATGTTGGACATGAGTCAGAGGTCAGATCGTGGAGGACCTGGGAGCACTGTCAGGGTAAGGGGCCGGGGTTTCAGAGTGAGGGGGCCGCTGACAGTATGGCTGGTGACATGTGCATTTGCATTGGATAGATTGTTAGGGGGAAGGCTGCACCCCTCTGAGGAGGAGCCATGAGAAACGGCAGCACCAAAAAGTGATCAGTGGAAGTGGGGACAGGGAGAGAAGAGGTTGGCTTCAAGAACTGCCAGGAGCCAGAGTCTCCACTATTGATCCAAAGTGAGGTGTAAGCCAGGAGGAGGACTCACCCCTGAATCTTAGGTATGTCTGGGCTGGGTGACTCATTGCTGGAGACACTCAGAGTTGTGAGCCCATGAAGCAGAGACAAAAGTCAAGGGTGAAGAAAAAACTTTGGTGTCCAACATCTAGAGTTTGAGGGGCATATAGGGTCTTTAGGTGTGAGTACCAAATAGCTGAAAGAGTCAGCAGGGGGTGGCCACAGGGCCTTGGGAGGGATCAAGTGGCCCAGCACTTGGCCTTCCTGCCCATAGGACAGACACAAGACTCCCTTAGTGGAGGCTGCAGGGTGTGTGAGTGTGTGTGTGTGTGTATTGAGACCCCAGACACTGGAGTTCTGCTTCTCCATTTCTGTTCATGCCAAGAAGGCTAGTCTCTTAAAATCATTCTCTTAAAATTTTGCACCTTGTAAAGGTCACTGTCCTGGGGCAGGACCCTGAGCAGCCTGTCGTGACAACGTCAGGGTTCCCCATCTGCACAGGTCGGTCCCTATCAACCTGTCCGTGCCTTCTACTTCCGGAAGCTTTAGGTTCAGCAGCTCATTGTTCTCTGACTTGTCCATCCCCACCTCCCATGTTTCTGCACTCTGGCCACGCTGAGCTCCTTAGAGTCACCTAAAAGACAGTGCACTTTCCTGCTCCTTTACCGGGCAGTCCCCTCTGCCTGCAAAGCCCTTTCCTTCTCTTCCACTTTGAGGATCATGCTCACCTCTCCAAAGGCCCAGTGATGCCAATGGAGCTTAAAGTCCAAGCCTCATCATCTGTAAGGTCCCTTTCAAGGTCTTGCACTTTGTGCATGTGGACAAGTGACATCTTTTTCCTAAAGATTCAGGCCCCAGTAAAAACTGTATCTGCTACAGCCTAGCTTAGGCTATATCTCTGGCTTCCTGATACTGGTACTATTGCTGCATAACAAATAACTCCAAAATTTAGTGATTAAAAATTTTTTTATTATCTCATGATTTTGTGGGTCAGACATTTGGCATGGCTGGGTCATTCTTTTGTTCCAGATGGTGATATGGCGATCTCTTGGTGGTACTCAGCAGATAGGATTGTTGGTCTGGAGGTTGATAACTGCAGACATATGTCTGGTGCCTTTGCATAGAGGCCTGGAAAGCTGGGGGATGCTGGACCATTGACTGGAGCACTACATGTAGCCCTTCCATTATGGTGGCCTCAGGGCTTCAGACCTCTAACGTGTTGACTTGGGCTTCCGAGAGCAGATGCTCCAGTGAATACTTGAAAGCTACATGGCCCCTTATGACCTTGCCTTACAGTGACAAGACTGCATGTTGCAGGTGACCCATGTTATACTGAATCAAAAAAAGGGAGTTGACACCCTCTCTGCAGCCTGTCCTCAGGCTTCT